ATTTAGATTGTATAAATGAGTTCTAACCATTTTGATCGGTTAAAACACACTAGAGAGTCATCATGCTTGATTATGGACAAGAATCATCCATCGATCGTGCTGAAACTTAGCCGAAAATAAAACTCAGAACTCTAAAATCGGTATTTAGCAATAAGCAAAACATTGTAAATGAAAATAACTTCAAAACAACAAGTTGAAAACACAAGAGCAAACCTCACACAATAAGATTTGGAAATGAAAATGGAAATTCACTACAATATCCGGCAAAAGTTCCTTACAATGCAAACTCAAGGATTGAAACAGTAATGAAAAGCTTAATGCAAAAACTTTCTCTCTAAAACTCCTGCCAGATATTACAATTTTCCTAGAGAATTACAATTTATTTATAGTAGAAGCCTTCTCCCTCCATTGGGTAGGTTGAGTGGTATGGGTGGTGGATGAAATACTGAAGAACTTTCCTCCATCCAGTTGAACCAATGAATCATAGCTTTGATGATTGGGAGGTGAAATGAATCAATAGGATTGCTTGCCTCGAAGTTCAAAGCCATCCAATGGAGTGCAAGTGGAGGTTATGCCAATCTTTGTTGACGAATGAAAGCACGGGAAAGTAAATTTGATAAACCTCCTTAAGGTCAACCGATTGAAATTAGGGTTTAACTAGTTGGTTTCCCTCCTTCAACAAGTTAAAGAATGTTGATGAACCAATTGACTGCACTCCAGTAGTTTGCTTTCGGTCTTGCCTTGACTATTCAACTGGTTGGTCGTGATTCAACCGGTTGGACTCCTCTCAACATCTTCCCAAATCCTTGAACTTGTGTTCAACCGGTTGGTTGTGATAGTTCAACCGATTGAACTCTTCTCAATATCCTTAATTTCACTGTTCAATCGGTTGAAGTTGAGTATTTAACAGGTTGAATTACCTTTTCTTTCAACTTTTGTTGTAACTTTTCCCTTGTCTTTTCTTCTTTGTTTTCTTAATCCACCATATCGCATTATCATCAATCCTTAGCATCTCACACACCTACAATTACAAACATCACTCTAATTAATAAGCAAACTATAATTAAAGAGAATGCATCACTTAAACGTATAAAATGAATGTGTTAACTTATAAAAAGTACAATATTAAGTGGTAAACACTTCCGACCCAATCACTATCACAAATTCAAGTAATTTAATATCAACTTTTCTTTCAAACATAGTCCCAAAATCATGTATTCCTTGAATATATCTCAACACTCTCTTCGTTGCCTCAAATTGAATTTAACTAGATTTATACATGAACCGAGATAACAAACTTATAACAAACATAAAGTCCGGCCTTGTAGTTGTCAAGTACAATAGACTTCCGACCAAGTTACTATAAACAGATTCTTCAATTTCTTTAGTTTCATCATCTTTTAACAATTTTTCATTCATAACCAAAAGAATAACCACCCATTTACAATTTCTCATTCAAAATTTTTCAAGAAGAGTTTTTGCATACTTCTTTTGACAAATAAAGACTTCATGTTCTTGTTGATAGATTTCACACTCATTTCATAGCTCACTTTTAAAATTTTCAATCATTTTTTGATCATTCCCGGTAAAAATCAATTCATTAGTATAAAGAGACACAATGAAAATACCAGTCTCACCTTAGGTTTTGATGTAGAAGGTTAGCTCACTTTTGCTTCTTTGAAATCCCTTTGCATTGAAGTAGCCCGTACAAAACCTTTTTTAGCTTGTACATTTTTCCTTTTTCACCATTTGACCACAAAGCCTTGAGTTTGTTCTATATAAACTTCTTCTTTTAACAAACCATTCAAGAACGTTAATTTTACATCTAGTTGATGAAAAAATCAGCCCATTTGTAAAGCAAGAGCAATAAGAAGTCTTATTGTATCAAGTCGAGCCATCGGAGCAAAAGTTTTTTGAAAATTGATATTGGGTTGTTATGAATACTCTTTGCTATAAGTCTTGCTTTATTTTTCTAAATTGAACCATCCAAATTAAGCTTTGTTTTGTAAATTCACTTCACCCCAATGACTTTTTTATTCTTTGGCTTTTTCACCAACTCCCAAGTGCTATTTTTCTTTATCACACGAATTTCATCTTCCAAGCATCTTCTTTGATTGCTTCTTTAAAACTTTCAAGTTCAATCACACAAAAAATTACATCTAGCATACACATCACTAAGACTTTTAAATTTTATTGGGGCTGAACTTGGAGATTAAGTGCTTGAAATTGAAGAAATAGAAGAATAGTTAGGTGTTGGATACATTTGCGGTGGAACTTCAACTTCTTCAATTTCATTTTCTTGATCAAAACATAATCTTCATTACAACCACTTGATTTTGAAAATTCTTTTCTTTCCAATTCCAAGAGTCTTTCTCATTAAAGAGAACATCTCTATAAATAATAAATTTGTTTCTATTCAAACTAAAGAGTCTATAACCCTTTGATTTTGAGCTATGAACCACAAAAATGCATTTTTTACTACTTTCATCAAGCTTGTACCTCATTTATTTAGAAATATGTGCAAAATAAATGCCCCTAAAAACCTTTAAGTGGTTCACTGGTGACTTCCTTCTACATTATGTCTCAATTGGAGTTTGATTCTCCAAAGCTTTTGTTTGACATCTATTTTTTCTTTCAGCGACTCAATTTTGTTGTGGAGTATACCCAATTGTCAATTATCTTTCCATACCAATGAATTCACAAAATTTATTAAATTCATTAAAGTTGTACTCATCGTCTCTATCGCTTCTCAACTTATCAATGTAGTATTCACTAACATTCTTGAAAAGTCATCAAACATTAAGAAGTATTTGTTACTCCATGAGAAAGTGTTCTTGATGATCCCAATACATTGGTGTGAACAAACTCCAATGGTCATTTGGCTCTCTAAACTTTTTTCTCTTGAAAAATGATCTCGTTGATGCTTTCTAAGTATACATCTTTCAAAATTTATTTTAATTCTTGTATAGATGACAATCTGTAAATTATGTTCTTTTGTTGTAGACTCTTCAAGCCTAGAAAGTTCAAGTGCCCAAGTCCTCTATGCCAAAGCTAAGATTCATCAACAACCTCCATCTTCAAAGAAACATTGTTTGAATGTCGAAAAGTGAGAGAAAAACTTCTATTTTTATCCATCTCATTTTTTGCTATAACTTGCACTTTCTCTCCAAAGTCATAAATCATGCAAAAGTTATGTTCAAACATCATAGAGTACCCATACTCTATAAGTTGAACAACACTTACCAAATTTTATTATAAGCCTGGTACTAACAAGATATCTTGGATGTATTTTGTTCCTTTCTTTGTTTTAATGCCAATGGTTCCCTTGCATTTTGCTTGAACTATAACACCATTTATCATATCCTTACTTGAGAATTAGATGTGGTGTATATGTTTACAAAAATATTACCATCACTAGTCACGTGGTTAATACAACCATTATCAAAATACCACACATCGTTCCTTTGCTCGGACATTGCTTGACAAACATATAACATGTTTTCACTACTTTCTTGCTCTTGAAAAGTTAGGTTATTGATTATTCTTGAGCCGACAATTTTTTTATAAATGACCAAACTTTTTGCAATTAAAACATTGAGGTTTTCCATGAAACCAACAATTTTTATCAACATGATTTGATCTTTTGAAAATCTCACATTTTTGTTGAGTGGATTCTTCATTAGATCTTCTTTCAAAATTTTCACTTTCAAAATTTCTTCTACCTCTTTCTCTTCTAAACTTCCTCCTCTAAAAGATTTATTTTTAGATTGATTGAAACTACACTATTCATAACTTTCAAAGTCAACATTAAGCTTGGATTGAAAAATACTCTCAACAGGTTTTTCAACATGCCTACTCAACCTTTGCTTACTTTAACTTTTTTTTTTTTTGGGGGAGAGGAAAGGGGAGGGGAAGTTGAACTTTTGACTTCAAGAAGACAAAGTTTTTACAAAAACACAGAGTACCATTGAACTAAAAGTCTATTGGTGCTTACTTTAATGGAACCCAATAAATCTTGAACACCTAACGAAGAAATATTTTTGGTTTCTTCGACGACGGAAACAATAGAATCATATTTTTTTGGTAAACTAACCAAAAATATTGAAATAATTTTTGAGTCCAAAATTTGATCTCCATAAGTTTTTCTTTGATTTACAACCTCTATAAGTTTATAAAAGAAATCATTTAAAGATTCGTTCTCTTTTATTCTACTATTTTTAAATATCTTTTCAAGGATTGTAGTTTTACGACTCTTAATACTCATCTTGTAAAGTATCTCATGCTGCCTTTGACTTTGTTGCATTGATAATTCTTGAAAAAAAATCACTCTTTATTGAATCAAATGAAGATCATTTACATCATTCTTCTTTGTTTTCTTTAATTGGTTCCTTTAAGAAGTTGTCGTATCTTCGGTTAGATCTTCATATCCAATTTCAATTAAATCTCAAAAATCATAAGAGAGAAATATAGTTTTCATCTTCACACAACAATAATCATAATTTTTACCATTAAATACGAGAAAAGAAGGTTGTTGTGCATCGGTAAACATGTTGATTCTACTTGTCATTTCGATCTTCTTTACTAGGACTTTGTTTATACAATGAAAAATTTAACATGCCAGCTGATTAGTGTTGAACTAACTCTGGTACCACCTATGTTAGCTATAATTTCAGCCTTTGTATAATTGTAATAGAGAAAACAAAGACAATGTAAACTAATCTTTAGGAACAATTTTCCATACTTGTATTTTATAATTTTCAGCATATATATAGTTGACAAGATACATCTTCACCTCTCACTTTCATAGAATATTAACCACATTACAAGTTTCAAGACTCAATCATTTGTATTTTCAAGTCAACTAGATGCACTTAACCTCTAAGCATTATATTGTATGCTATTTTTAACCGAGTCAACACTATGGCGCAGCTAGACACTTCAACATGACAACTTATTTTATGTGATACATTAGTTCCTTAGTAACCCCGTTTTTCAGTAGTCTACTTTTTGCAAACCACTCCACTTCCCTTCATTCCACTAGAACAATGCAAGATTGGGTATTCAGCTACCCCATCTCTCCGATTAGTATTCAGGCCAAATCGAGACGCCGAGCAATCAGTTGCGAAGATACTTGAAGTTGAAAACCTTTGTTGACCACCCATTACTGGCATTGGCACATTGACCTTTGTTTTACTCACATAATCCCTCCTATAGGTCTGGCCCAGAACTCCATCCACTATATCAGTAAGATTATAGAACTTGAAACCGATCTCCAAGTGAGCAAAGCAGTCCTCATCTGTTATGTTGTAGTTATGAACCCTAGAATCTTCAGCCGTGATAGGTACCACAGTCGCAATAACCTTAAAATTATTGGCAACTTCAACCATGACCCCATTGGTGTTGCTGGTCCGTGTGACAGTGACAGAGGGCATGACCAGAGAATTCCACTTGGAGCCTTCATTGGGGGGAAGGGAGATGGTTGTGTTATCAAAGGACATGACGACATGATCGACATTGTCATTCCATTTCGAGGTCTTTTGAGCCCCAACTAGAATTTTGTGGTTGTCAAACATTATTCCGAGGGACTGCACCCAAGTAAAGTCTCTCTTGAGGTTTGGATTTCGCTTTCCTATGAAGTGAGCATTGATATGGAGGTTTGTGTCCGAAACTAGACAGAAGTCTTGGTCCTTCCGACCGTGAAAGTAGAAAGTGACACCATCTCCACCAACAAAGCGCGGGTCGAAACAAACACCACCAGGAGAGACGCAGTCTGTGAATATAAACAGTTGTGAATTTAGCTTTATACACATCATTTTGCTCAGTCTTTCTTAAGCTCAATTTTCATTAGACATGCAAAGTAAAAGATAAAAAACTACACTAGGCATGTTGCATGTGTGACTAATGTGCAATTACCGAATAATGATTCCTTCACTTATAGGTGAATTTTCAAGAGATTAGAGAAGGTATCACCAACGCAAGTGAAAGAATTATTAAATTTTTTGAAAGCTTACCAATTTTTTTCTCAATATATATGCAAGGTGTATTGAGTATCTAGTCTTTCGGAACAATACCTAGTCTTTCATATTATGAGAGATTATTTTGTTTGTAAACTAGGCTCTGTAACGTGTGGACTAGTTTCTTTCGAGAAGTGTTCCCTTTTGTCATTTGGGTAGTGTTTTTTTTTTTTTTTTCACTTTTTTCTAATACCTTTATTTTTCAGATGAGGAAGATTATTTACTTAGAAGATTTAGATTATATAACTAATGCAATGTATAAGCCCTAATTGGCCAAATGAATGGCATAGTTTCTTGACCTGGTAAACAACTTTAATAAGGTCATGTTTTAAAAAATTGTAATAATGAATTGATGTGAAAAATGTAATCTGTTTGAATGTCGAACAATGCAATCTGTTTTGATTTACCCTTTTTTGGCCACTCTAACATTAACCATCTACCTTTGTACACAAATTACAAGGACAACTTACTGCAAACAGGCCTGCAAGTGGAACAATCAGCCATGCAGGTAGTAGGGCAGGTAAGGGGGCACCGGAGCCGAACCTTGTAGCATTTGGGAAAAAGCACAGACCGGCATCTTACCCAGTTTGGTTTCACCGCAGCCATCGTATCGGCTGAGAGCCATAGGATCACAAAGAGGAGAATGCAGAAGGAAGCTAATCTCATTTTCATGAACACAGGACTTGCAAGGTACAAGTCTTTTGAAGTTTTTGTGATTAACCTGTCATGCACTCCCTATACTATTTATAGATGAGAGTGACCTTGTTCTTCTCACGTGTGTTTCCATGAAACCATGATATTTGTGAATCTTCCCCTAAAATTATGCTTTCCTTTCAGTAATCACATTCTTTCCCTCCCCCTCCCCTTCCCCTCACGCTCAAGTCAGGTCTCATCTAGTATATTTAGTTTTAATTTCTTCTAGGTTAGCAACGAAGCATGTCATGTCATGCCAAAATTTGTAAATATTTATATTCCAATTCAAACTACACCAGGACAGTCTAATGTATATCACGTATTTGATAGGTTTATGTGGGTCAATTTTATTTAGTGAATTTAACGAGTCCACTTATTTATCAACCAAATTAATCTGTTAAAAACTTACTTTTATAATGAAGTTGGAGGTTGTGTTGTAATAATGCATAGAGAGAAGGGCATTTTGTATCCAAACACTTGAATTAATCTCAGGGGTGGCCCGATACATTTTGGGGCCTAAAGTGAAAACGATAAAGACGCCTTTTATTTTTAATATTAATAATAAATTTAATTTTTAATTTTTTTAAATATAAAAAAATTAATTAAATTTTTATATTCTAGTTTTTATTACCATATTTGAACTTAATATTAAGAGAGATAAATAATAATTGAAAAATTATAATGGTACGTTTAAACTTGATTTTTTGGGGGGTTAAAGCTAGATTTTTTCATAGCTTTAGTTTTACAGTTAATTTTTTTTTCTTTACTTTAAAAAATAAATTTTACAGCATTTTAATTTTACAATTGAATTAACAGGCTCAATTTATTTAAATTGAAATATTTTGTTTGGGCATGGATTTAAATTTTTTATTTGGACTATTACCGTACACCTATAAATTATAGGCATTCCTTGGAGTGAGGCTTCAAATTTTCTTTTTGATTGAACTTGTATTTTTATAAGGTCTTTTTCTAGGGCTTAAAATATTTATAGATTTAATTTTTTTATATAAAATATTTATGATATTTAAAAAATTAGGGCCTTTTTTAAAAATAGAATCTAAAGTCCAAACTTTTTTGATGACACTGTTGAGCCGCCCCTGATTAACCTTGTGTTTTACCTTCAGGGGGAGGTGCTTTGCATGCATCACAGCCTGATTCTTTGCACAACTAACTGGATGCACAAGAAAAACCCCAATTGCCTTAAATCTTCGGACTTTAAAAAGTCTGAAATTGAGGCTGTAAGATATGGTTCTCACGTGTTCTGCAATGATTTTTCTCAGTTATTTTTCTGTGATAGTAAAGGAGAACTTGTGCTATAGCGTGAATGGTCATGCCAAGATCGAGAATTGAGAGTGTGTTTTACTTTAAACTTGCAAGTAAAGGACGAGTAAAATAAGGGTAGGAAATTTTAGACAGAATACAGTAAAAAATGACTCGAACTTAATGGAGAATTAGTTGAGTAGTGTTGACCAAATCTATGATTGTCTTTTTTCTTCCCTTTTTGTTTAGGTAAAAAATTTTGGGTGGATTGACAGGTCAACTATACCTCAACCCAAAACATAAAACTTTTAATTCGAGCTTAGCCTAACTCAAGCTAAACTTGAGCAACTCCAACACGTGGTTAAATTTTTAAATTTGGCCGGTTGAACTCGGGTTATATATTTTAGATTGTGTACTTCAAATAAAACTTAGATTGATATCGAGTTTCTCATTAATCAAAACTAAGTTAAATAAAAAATAATGTCCAGGTTTATGTTCCGCACCGACATTGAACCTAAATTTTACAACTTCCATCAATCAAATTAGAAAACCCACAAAACACAAACAAACTTTACATCTACAATACGCATAAAAACATCAATAACAATGGATGAGGGTGAGGCACATATACCCTAACATTTTATATGGGTGTGTGTATAGTTATTTATTTATTTATTTTTTAGGTTGAACACGGGTTGTAATCGGGTTAAACCCAATTTCATTATTTCAGATTGAACCAATTAACCCGAATTCGAGTATAACTCAAATTTAATTCGGATTATAATTTATTTGTCAAATATAATCCAAGAATTAAAAACGTCAACCAAAGTATTACAATTCAAGAATTATTAAAATTTATAGTGGATTGAAACTGATTTTTTTTTTATTTAAAAAAAGTTAAAGAGTATGTATTGTACTTTGCACGACTAGGAGTTTATACAATTAGTTTTAGGTCTTTTGCAATAATAAAAGACGCTATCTAACAAACAAATGAACCTTCATCCCTCAAAATATCAAGAACGCTTGACGCTAGCTCGGTCCTTTTAATGGATTGGCCAACCAGATTTACTTAGCAGATGAGTTTGATAGAAACCAGAGGCACTAAAGTTTTGTTTATTTATCTATTTTAATCCAACACTAGAGGTCTAATGTTGAAGGTGGGCCTTAGTGTAATAGTAATATTTCTTGATTATAATTAGAGTGTCATTTTAGGTTCTTATCTTACATTGATGATGTGGTATTAGCATATCATATAAATAACTGTCCACTCTACGTAAAGGCCAATGGTCACACAAAAACTGCACCATGTTATAGGGCTCATGTGGTAAAGTTTGTTCAACTATAATAAGGTGAAGGAGAAAAGAAAAAATGGTGCCCTATTGTCAAGTTTTATAAAATTTGTGGGTTAAGATACAATTTTTGAGATTGTTTATAAGAAAAAAGTTTTCAAAAAAAAATGAGAGGTTAATAATGTAATATGGACGAAAAATTAAAATTTAATATAATTTAGTCCAACAAAAAAGTTTCCCACAGAATAAGCCAACAAAAATACCTTTCGAATGTGGGTCCAAAAGTCTAACCCACCTGACACAAACACATTTGTTGAAGGAGAAAAAAGATTAACAAGGGTGTCTAACATAATTAAAATTTTTGACTTTCTCCTATCAAAAAAATAATAATAAACATCTCTCTCTCTCTCTCTCTCTCTCACACACACACACACACACACACACACCAAAAAAAACAACTCATTTTTCTATTTTTCTCAAACTCAATTTTGTTGTCATTGAAGCACAAAACATCAACCAAACCAATCATTCTCATAAAGGATCCAAAATAAAAACTAATTTAATTTCAAAAATATCTTTTTATAAAGTTGTCATCCATAACAAATAAAATATAACAAAAATTTAGGTGAATGTTTCAAATATAAACAAGTAAAAGATAGTAGAATAATTCATCAAAAAAATAACAATGAATGTATTTATAACAACAGTCAATCATGTAATATCACAATTTCGGTTAAGAATATACAAAACAAATAAGAAGAACATAAAAATATTAATGTATTAATAGATTATAATCTTATCAAAATATTTGTGATCTAAAGTCACACTATCAATTAAAAAATAAAACTTCAAATTATAAATTTAGAATATTATTAAAAAAGAAATAAAAGCCTGATTGACACTTATCGTTTTAGGCATTTGATGTTCTTAAATCGCCCTTAGTATTTGTACTATAAACAACAAGAAAAAGCAAAAACACAAGTTGACTAATATTGGATGAGAACAACATCCATGCGAAAAAAAAATAGTAATAAAAGCTGATGACTAATATTTGATTGAGGCCTCTTTTGTATTTAATCATAATGTCGTTTGCTTTACTCCAACATGGAGATTGTTTATACGTACATAACAATTTCATGCTCACCACATATCATCATATTTGATGTTGATTTGTTTCATTCAACTTAAATACATGATGATGGATCGAGGAGGAGGAGGAAGGAGAGGGGGCGGCGTGAAATAGTTACTCCCCAAATGCTTGAAAAATGCCCCTACTTACTCCCCAAATGTTTGACACACCCCCACAACCAATGGTGTATATTTAACTTAAGTGATAGTAATATATAATTTAGACATCGAACTAAATTCTTGAATCCGTCTCTTTGGACTTTACTACTCTTGAATTTTCCTGCATAGTACTGGTAGTAATATATAATTTAGACATCTTGTTGAAAGTTAGAGTTTCGAGCTTCAAACCGGTTTAAATTAAGATTAATTTTATTATTACCTTCTTAGATATGCAATTTTTCGTTCAACATAAATAATAAATAACTATATAAAATGCCAACATACCTTCTTGGATATATATATTTTTTTGATTAAGTATATCACATAACTATTGCATCACATAATTATTAGTAGATTAGTTATATCTCCTATCATATCTCTCATCTACGGTCTTTTATCTCTCTATCATTGTATGTGTGTAGACCTACCTTTCCACGATTTTTCTATTTAATAAAATTCTTTGTGCGTTCTTCATCTTTTTCTAATATATATAACATGAGACATAATTTGATAGTTTTTTTTTTTTACCAGAGAACACTATAATATTTCTACTTAAAAGTAGAAATGTCATAAGTCCTTAAATAACACACACACTCTAAGGTTATCCGATGTGTGATAACCCCAACCCATCACCACCTTGGCCCAAAGGCCTCCCCGATCATAGTCGTTGATGCCAATTTGGTGTCACTTCAATTCTTGTCTCAAAGTTCCTGTGTTTGGAAAAAAAAAGGTAAATTGCAATCACATACTATACTTTTTATTTAAATTACTTCATAGACTGAGACAAAATTTAGGGACCAAAAAAAGGGTAAATTGTAATTACATACATACTTTTTATTTAAATTCCTTCATAGACGGGAATAAAATTTAGGGATCAATTTTGATCTTTTGATTTTGTTACATAGTGTTTTTAGATACGAATTCACGGAATAGTAACTTTGAATATTTTTTCATCTTTTAAGTCATTTTCATCTTCTTTTTTTATTTTGGTAGGATATATAGTGTATGAGCATTTCACAATATGGTTGCCAAGTGGAGATCACAAGAATCAGAAAATGACCAACCCCACAAAACATTGGTGTAATGTTGGTTATTCAATAGGATAAGCAGTACAAACAAAGAGCACGTACGTCATATAGATTTGTACTACTAGTACTACTATAACAACCCTCCATTCATCACTTCATATTATTTTTGTACTATCACAAAAAAAAATTAATAAATAAAATAAGTGTGATTGCCAAACTACCACATTGCTTCGACGGGATCTCAAAATATCTGGTACAACCTATCAGCAAGAAGGTGAGAAGATAAGTACTTTTCTATGTAAATTTGGGAATTTATTAGTTTTTTTTTTGGGTAAATTTCATTTTTTTTATCAGACCCCCTCAAGATTGGCCTAATTTTAGGGAAACCCCTATGATTTCTAAAATATCAATATCATCCTCTATCAAGTTATGTCGGTTAATATTTAAATTAATAAAATTAAATACTAATTTGATGAAATTGAAGTTCAATTTGATGTTAATTTAATGAAACTAAATTATAAAATAATATAAATTAAATGTTTATTTGATAAAATTAAGTTTTAAGAGTGTTCAACGACACTTCAGAATTGAGGGTAAATATGATATATCACTATAAGAGACCCCATAACATCATCTATTCCCTTACGTGTCAATACTGTCATTGGCAGTAGGAGTGTTACGTGAAACTCATGTTTATCAGTAAGGATATGTAGACATGCTAGAAACTATAAGGGGTATTCTTGGAGTTAGACCAATCTCGAGGGGATGTCAGTGAAATTTATCCTTTTTTTTCTTCAAAAACTGAGTAAATATTGTCATTAATTATTATTCTAAAACCATATTCTATGTCTACGGCTTATAACAAATGTTAAAAGCTAAAATTAGCCACAATTTTATGCAATGCACTAAATCCACGTCATTCTTTTATCCATGATTTTGATATTGTGGATATACTCATCCTATAAAACCTTCAACACCATATTTGCTAATAATATTAGCAAAAACTATTTATTAAGATGCTCAAATGGTATTTCACATGATTTTTAAAAAGAGATTTTGGACGTCTGCTCAATGAAGATGCACAAGATTCTAAGTAATGCCTAATAAAAAAGATTTCGATTAAATTTTTAGTGCGATGATTAAAGACAAGACGGTACTTGTGATATTTCGGCTTGGAATTCATTTTATTTGATAGCTTTTTAGAAGTTAAATATCATTGGACGGGTTACTTTTTATTGTTATTGGAACCACATTACATTAAGGCAAAGTAACGTTTTCACATAATTTTGTATCTAATTTTTAAAATTTGGTAACAAAAATTCAAAATTTAAGAAAACACTAATTACATATTTTCTCTAGTTTTAAGATACAACTTCGAAAAAAAATCGAAAGCATGGGATGTAATCAACTGTGAAAGCAAGAGTTTTTTTTCTCTCATTCATGTCTTTCACTCCGCTTCTAAGCAAGCGCAATTGATTCTTTCAAACCCTTAATCTCGTCTGAAGCTCTGGTCTTTCAAGTAGTACAAGTCGATGAAAAGACATCTGGTCGGCTTGTAACAACCTCCTAAAAAATGCTCTTTTCATGTGTTTTGTGTTTTCTTGCTGATAACTTTTATATATATTTTTGATGTTGACTTTCTCCTTAGATGCAGCCCTATGCAAACTAAAAATTTGAGATCTATATTGTTGAAATTGTTTTTTTGTTCTTCACAATGAGAAGAAGGACAACATCTTTCTTGTATGTTTAATTTTTGAATTTAATTTTTGGCTGGCTGACATTTGTCAATTGACATTAAGTGTTTGAGAGGGGAACTGTGTATAGACTGAACTACTAGTTTTCTTTTGTTTCTCTATTATTTAGTGTTTAAGAGTTTGCAAAGGCCTGTAAAATGTAATAATTATATGACTCTGTATACTATGCCTATTTGTTTTGAGCTTAATAGCAATGCAAAACACTTTTTATTTTGTGTGAGTTTTGGGTTGATTTATGTTTAGCTACGCCGAGTTATTTGCTAGCTTGCTCGTTTGATTTGAGACGTTATATGTTACTTGCCTAAGCAACCTGGGGTGTGACATGAAATTCTTAGCCTGAGATAAGTTCAATTTCAAGACAAGTGCAATCGGTGCATAAAATTTGGATTTGGGTTACACTATTCTGAATGAACTCTTTTGAATTTGGTTATGAGGTTGACTCTTCTAGATTAAAACTTAGGTTTAAATACGATTAAAATAAGTTTTGATTCTAATGTTATATAAATCTAACTGAAATCTATGTCATATTCAATCAAATACTATGTGTATTTAAAGTTGAGTAATGCTATTAAAAACTAAAAATCTAACATAATTGTTTAATCTAATGATGCAATTTCATTATAACCATTGAATTAATACTAAATTTTAATGTTTGATTGACATTCATTATCAATGTAAGAACTATAACAAATTAGGTCTGAATAGGATTGCTTGTTTAAAGTTTTGAATTTAGGCTGCAAAGTTCTTGGTACATACTCATGTTAACTTTTTGAAATCCAAGCTCATGTAATTATGTTGGATTCTAGGATTTCACAAATCAAATCAAAATTTAGGTTTTGACCAATTGAATTCTGACTTATTAATTTAAATTGTATTCAAGTTAGATCTCAAACATCTATTCTCACCATATTAAAATTTTTTATAATCAAACTATTAAAATCTACTCTTTCTATACTCACCCCATTTTAACTAAATCCATTTCATGTTATATACACATACACCCACCTTTAATAACAAGTCCACCTATTAACTTCTCAAAACTAGGGTTACATTTATTATTTTCTCTCATACACTCCACACGAAAAGAACTTTTTTTAATATAGATTTCTCTAGTGAAATACATGTTACTATCCCTTTTCGGTTTAATTTTTTGTTTGATTTCATGTGTGCTGTGTGTATATTTTTTGATTTTGATTTTTTGTATTTTGGTATTCTGTCAAGCTTAATTATTTTTGATTTAGAGTTTCTATGTACGTATATGTATGTATATATTCATAAAAGTTTGCAACAAGAAGAAAAACACAAAGCAGTGTAAAATTCGTTGATTTTTTATAATTGTATATATAAATTATTCTCGTAGGTATTCAATATATTTCTTTGATCCAGTTTGTATCCATCCAAAGAGAAGTTAATATTATTGCCCACACTATAACAACAAAAGTTACTCCTCATTGTGTTAATCTAATGGAGGTTTTTTTGATAGAAATTAGAATAGGTTTGGATAATGTACAAATACAAAAGTGGTGTACTTATCTTATCAATCAACACTAAATATTTTTTTGTATATTGTGTATGAGGTGAGATAGTGAATGAAATTCTAACTATGAGAAGACAGAAAATGAGTTTGTTATTAAAAAAATGTATATAACATGTGGTGAATTTAGTTACAATGGGGTATGCATAGTAGAAATGAGTTAGTTGTTTAAAAATAAAAATTTTAATACTTATTTAAAAAGATGATATAATTTTAACTTTTAAATTCTATTTCAGTTATGTACTTTTTTCAAAATATCCTCGACTAAACCCACAATTCAACCCACAAATGAAAGCGTTGACGTTACGACAGGACATGAGGAAACTTGGGCCCCACTGATAGCTAACACCACCACCAAACGAATACCAAATACCAAAGCTCAACCCCTGCGTACAGAATCCCCCACCCCCCGTTGTCGTCTTCTTTAAATAGGAACCCAACACAGCAGGACTTTCCTCAACCCCAACTTTTCCCTATCTTCCTCCTCCTCCTCCTCGTATTCGATTTATTCTGATTTCTATAGAAATCATCATGTCTCAGGTACGCATTTTATTATCTTTTCCTTTTCATCTGTTGTAATTTTAACCAACATTAGGGTTATATACATATTGATCCAGAGGCTGGGTAGGAATTGTGACTTGGTCGGCTAATTATCTGAATTTTTTGGGACTTTAAGTAAAAACTATTGCCCAAAATTTGAGAATTTTGTGATTGTTTTTCCTAATGTCTGTTTCGAGCTATATTTGTATGTTATTAGTTGGACCCTTCTTGTAATTACATATTTCTCAAATTCGCATGAGCCTAAAGATTTGTGCGTGGGTTGTTTCATTTGCGAGAGGAGACGGTTAATCTGTTGTAAAAAGTGCATAGAAACATTCTGTTAGTACTTGAGAGGCGAATTGGTGTCGTGGATTTTGCTTCTTGTATTCTGAATTGCTCTCTAGGATCTGCGGCAGAGAAGTGTATTTGATGGGAATAATGCTATGCTTACCAAAACTTTTACCAAAAAATATTTTTATCAACTGCTCCATATCACTTTTGGACCCTCCAAATGCTGATCAGAATGTTTTTTATTAGAGCCAACTCATTTGGTAAAAGTTTTGGTATACATAGCATTACTCATTTGATGGTTAAGTGTCATTACTTGGCTTTGTTTATTGTTTTCTGGTGGTGGGAAGGTATAGTGTACAAACTTAAGCTTTTGTCCCCCTCAAGGTGTGTTAGTTGATGGTAAAATCAATTGGATTTGAAAATTAATTGGGTATGTGTAAGTAATGTTATCAAAACCAGACCAGACTGGCCGGTCCAACCACTAAACCGGTGAACCGGACCCTAAGCCAGTCCGGTTCTCAAATTATTCTCTTAGCAGTGTACTGTTTAGTCTCTTTTCTTATTGTTTTATAATTTTTCTTTCAATCTTTTTTCTCTATTTTTTTTTTTGCATTCATAATGTTACTTATTATGTCAATTTAGATTTTATAAATTATCTAAGAAAATAGGTGATTTCTGAATTTTTTTTTGTGGTCTTATTTGATCTATCATAGCATAAAAATGTAATTTTTTTACTTATTCAAATTTTTTGGTATATTCTTCATTATTAATAATATATTTTATATTTTTTTATTATGCAATTGTTCCAACCAGATGACCCAACAGTTGAACTAATGAACCATTGACATTATCTTTCTGTTGGTTCGATTTCCAGTCCGATTCTGAGAATATTGTGTGTACATAAGTGGGAGTGCGTTCATGCTTGCATGATTTTACCTTTGAAGTTTAGGTTGATTGAAATTTTCTTTAATGAGAAGTTCTTCATATTAGTATTTGTTAACTATCAAGAATTATGAAATATACTCAGTTCTGATTTGAAGTCTGCAGGCCATCGCATGAGTATTTCTTTTATTTGATATTGTAAAGGTTGTATTTGAATGGCGTCAAAAACCATCAGTTCAAGCTGTGGTCTTCTCCCAATCCCTGGAAGAAACCACCATAGGCATATCTTTACAGTTACATGAAATTTAAATATAATGTCAGTGTGAAGTGGTAATTCCCTGTATTAGAGTTTCTACATTTTTTATCCTTCTTTGAAGAATTTTGTTATGGTTGTTAGATCCATTGTCATTTACTCATGCGATGCTCATTTCACTTACATTTCGTAATCTATCTTGAGGCTAAAATAACAAAGGAGCACTCGGCAGTGGTGATTTAAGATGAATAAGTGTAGTTGTGTAGACAATCTAACTTCTATTAAGAGGTTTGTAACTGATATCTATAAATGGAAGTTCTTTCACAGATAGTAACTTGTTTGTCTTATTATGCTTAAGGGAGTAGCCTTGTGAAACTTTCAGGCTTATACTAAATAGGTTCAAATTCTTTTAGAGCCACTCCTCAAACAATTGGTTGAGTTTTCTACCCTTGCTCCTCATTTGAAGTTGTTGTATGATGCCTTTTATATTTAGCTGAATGCTTCAACATAGTGCGATATGCGATCTTTATCACTCCTCAAAACTACATTTATGTACTCTCTCTCTCTCTCTCTCTCTCTCTCTCTCTCTCTGTGCGTGTACGTGTGTGCATGCGCATGATGTTTTGTGTGTGGTGTGCATACGTGCAGCATCGTCCGTGTGCATGTGCATGAAGAATAAATGATGGTGCATGCTCTAGCTTTGAGAATTGTAGTGCTACGTTTACATAATTAATTCCTTTATATTTTCCTCTTATGTATCACTATTTTTCTGCATGCAGACTGTTGTCCTCAAGGTTGGTATGTCATGCCAAGGCTGTGTTGGGGCTGTGAAAAGGGTTTTAGGAAAAATGGAAGGTTTGCGAGCCCTTGTGTTGTGTCTTGATTTAACTATTTTTCTGATATATGCGGTACTAGCCTTATTTTTTTGATAGAAATTGTGACATAGGATTTGGGTTGAAGGTGAAATAACTATTTTTCTGACATATGATATTTAACTATTAACAGTCTGAGAAGTGTTAGTTAAAATTGACGTAAAATTGACTTCTGGTATCCCTTTTGATCTCTCATCAGGTGTAGAAACATTTGACATTGATTTGGAGGAGCAAAAAGTGACTGTGAAAGGCAACGTGCAGCCTGAAGCAGTTCTCCAGACTGTTTCCAAGACTGGGAAGAAGACTTCTTTCTGGGAAGCCGAGGTACCAGCAGAAGCAGAAGCAGCAGCACCAGCGCCAGCACCAGCTGAGCCTGAAGCAAAGCCTGCAGAATCTGTTTCTGTTGCTTAATACATTTCTGTTGATTGCTTTATGGGACTAATGTGTATTTTACGATGGGTTGGTGACTTATATTATGGGTACCCTATAGAGTTTAGCAAGCTTGTGAGCTACAATAAGTTCTTGACTGCTCTTGCTTTGTGATTTCCTGTACTATTTTATGAATAGAAAGTGCTACTGTACTACTTTATATGTGTAAAGAAATTGTCTTCTTTTTGAATTCTCGTCTCTAACCAAGATGCGATTTGGGAGAGATAAGTAGCGGATAATTTTACTTCCACTTTGGAGATTAAACGAATAAGCAATTATCATCACTCTAAGTCTAGGAGGTACTTCACTAACTATAATCTGAAACAATTACCAATGATTTTGTATGTACCCTTTTTTTTAATGTTCCTGGATGTAGGAATTCAATCAAATTTTCTTGCAGCGTTTTGTTTTTAGGTGACTAACCCTGATCATGACCTTCATCAACTTGGCACTGTTACACTTCCAAAAACCTTCTACCTCTCATGTTGGGACCTTTCAGTGAGAATTTATTGGGCTGAATTCAGCAAATTGCACACTCTTGACTTCGTATATACTCAGATCCATTCCATGAAGCCAATGGTCCAACCTCACTGATGAAGTTGTGAAAGAGCTGAACCGTCTCGAATATTCAACTTCTTTTACAAATCTAACAAGTTCCAAAAATGCAATTCAAGTTTGGGTAGTTCGTCTCATGAATGAACTCGAACAAGTTACTCAACAGATCTTACTCGAATGTAGTTAACGTGGATGTTTTTTTAAGAGCAATATAATCTAACTAATAATAACTTCGTGCCAAAATATAGTCTATAATACCAAAATTGGAACATTGGTCGTGCAACGATTATATTTTAAATAACAATTATTTTTTTTTCTTTCTTTTCTTTAATTACTTAATAGAGTTAGCAGAGAGAAATAAAGAGGAAAGAGATAGGTGTGAATTGGTAGGGTTATTTGACATTGATGTCATGGAGACAAAAATGTATTTTAGAGTGAGATTTTTTTTATTTTTTAAATTGAACAAAGATTGAATTAATTTCATCTCTTATTGTGGTTTTATACTTTGCAATTCAAATTGCTAGGTGCAATATCTATCACATTTTTTCAAAACAGCTAAAAAAAAAAAAGGTACATGAACTTTTGCAGATATGTAATCATTTTTCTTTTTTCACATACACGAGAGAATTGATAATATATTTTTTACATATGAACTCGAAAGTACCTTATTATCTTCATATGTAACGAGAGGGGGATTATATCAAGTACTGAAACTTGAGAAAAAAGTAATGTATGAAAGAAATTGGGAGTTTCCTCCGATAGAGAGATAAGTTAGGAATTTAGTTCAGATGTTTATTCTCTGTCTTGCTTTGACAATAAGATAAAAGAATATAATATTTCAAAAATCCTCTTGGAGCTAAGACAAAAATGGGAGAGAATGATATTCAAATTTGGGTTGGATTAGTCTGAATACATCTTTTGCACATGTAATTCAAAACTATATAAGTCAATACAAAATTTTAGTAGACCAAAATAAGATAAACCACTAATATCCTCTTATTCGAAAAAAAAAAACATTAATGTTATATTGTATTTGTGAAAAGTATGATTGATACATTATTGTTTTGTTAAATATCACAATTAGTTTTTAAACTTTGCCTTTTGTTTTAAAATATTTTCCAGACTTTCAATTATCTCAATTTAACCTTTTAATTATTAATTTCATGTCAATTAAGTTATTTTGTCCATTTCACCGGTTGAATACACAAAGACAAGTTCACTTGTTCATCACGTGCTTGTTAAAGGCTGTCAATACCACGCTAAAGGTCCAAATGGTATGCCCATCACTGTCACGCAACATATGAAAAGACACCTCTGTTAAACGAATAGTAACATATGAAAAGACAACTCTAGAGTGAATAGACACCTCTTCAAAAATCGGTGCCAATTTCAAATAATTAACGGACATAAATTTGAATTTCAGTTGGAAGAATAAATTTAATCTGCGTTCAAATCCGTTTAGTTTGACCCAAAACCCGCACCAAATAATTTGTTTTGCAAAAAGATTGGATGTTGTTGATCTAGGGCTCAGCCTGGCTTGGATGGGTCGTGGCGGGAATGGGCAGGGCACGCGTATGTGGTAACTAAAGTTATATAAGTGCTCACTCCACTCACAAAAGTATGGTATCACATGGAGCTCAACCCATGAACCCAACTAGGAGTATATTAACTCAACTAGTTTTTGGTTTCTTTTCAATGTGGGACAATCATTACACACTACAGTTTTATTAAACTTAGTTTCTTCTATCTATGCAAGCGGGTCACCTTGAGATATAATTTCTCACTTAATAGTTTTTAATAAATAAATATGCCACATTAATCTCTTGGCGGAGGAGAATGCATTTAAACTTAGTCCCACCAATTTTGATATGTGCGTCCCACTTTTATTTAAACCAAAATTTGCTCAAAATAATTTATTCCTAACCATTTTTTGTTTCAACAATCACTCACATGAATGAAAATTCGATGTATGAAAATGTAGACGCTAGTTCAAGTACAGTTGAAACGTTATTGTATCGGGATAAATGGCCTAGTGGTTTTGAATTTTTCGTAGTGAAAGACTATCGAATTTACTTGGCTAATTAGTGAACTTAATGTTTTTGAACTGTCAACTATTTGTATAAATCAAGACAATAGAATTCACACAGTTTTCTTTTGGACACAGTTGGTTCTCACGTTTGTATTCATTTTGGCCTTGAACACCACTTGATTTCATTAGTAATTTAGAGTAATCAACCTACGATTACCACAAAAACGACCCCTTCTTACTCACATAAGTGATTTCTGATTGAGAGTATTCTGTTATGCCCTACTTGAATTTTTCCAAGTCACAGAAATTATTAAAAACGTAACTTACCCTATATCCTACTTGAATTATTACTGTCTCATCATAGGAATGAGAAGGAGTTGAAAACCTCCTCAGTGAATCTCTGAGTTACACATGATTAGTTGTCCCTTTGAGCCTAGACCTTGAGATCTCTAGTCAGTTAAGTTGGGTTGCCATTAAGGTGGCTCTTAGTTACATAAGGCTTTAAGCCCATTCTTCTTGATGAACTTTATACTTGCTCTTTAGTCAAATCTTTTATAAGTGCATCCGTAATGTTATCCTTTGACTTCATGTAGTCAATGGATATAATATCATTCAAGAGTAACTGCCTAATGATATTTGTCGAGACTTACCATTATACATACAATTTTGTGCCCTTCTAATCATAGATTGATTGTCGCAATGTATACATATTGTTGGCATAGACTTTGGTCAATTTCGAATGTCCTCTAAAAAGTTGCGAAGCCATTCAGCATCTTCTTCAGCTTTTTCTAACGTAATGAATTTGGATTTCATTATAGATTTAGCAATACATATTTGTTTGAGGATTTCCAAGACAAAACTACACTTTTCAAGGTAAAAGACATATCCACTCGTGGATTTTGAATATTTAATATCGAATATCCAATTAGCATCCGTATATCCCTCGAGTATAGCTGGATATTTTCTGAAATACAAACCATAGTTTTGGATATATTTTAAATAGCCTAAAAACTTGATTGTTGCTTTCAAGTAGTCTTTTTTGGGGTTACTTGTATATTGACTTAGATTGTGCTGTATCTAGACGAATACAATTCATGATATATATTGAACTACAAATTATACGTGTACATTTTAATTAAGATATATTTTCATCATTATTCTTAAAAAGATGAATATTAATATTGATATGTGTTTTCATAGATTTTATCTCATACTTCATGAACTTTTTGAGTATTTTATCAATATAATGAGATTGAGATAACTTGAGTCTATTCGACGTTTTAAAATTTTTAATTCATAATATAATGTCTGCAACACCTAGGCCTTTTATTTCAAACTAATTGGTCAACATCCATTTAGTAGCTTTAATGACATCGTTATTGTTGTCTATAATCAACATGTCCCCTACATAAAGACATACAATAATGTATCCACTATGAGTGCTCTTGACATAAACACATTTGTCACACTCATTTATTTTAAACCCATTTGACAACATTGTCTTGTCAAATTTCTCATGCCACTACTTTGGTGTTTATTTTAAACCATAAAAAGATTTAAGAAGCTTATATACTTTCCTTTCTTGTCCATTAGCAATGAACCTTTCAAGTTGTTCCATGTATGTTTCTTCATATAATTCACCATTTACGAATGTTGTCTTTACATTTGTTTGATGTATCTCAAGACCATTTAAAGTAGCTATAGCAATTAGCATTCGTATGGATGTTATTCTAATAACTAGTGAATAAGTGTTGAAATAATTCAATTCCTTTGGCTACAAGTCTAGCTTTGTAATTGTCAATGAATCCATTAAATTTTATTTTCTTTTTAAAGAACCATTTACAACCTCAAAGTTTATTACCCGATGAAAGTTCCACCAATTCATATGTATGATTTCTCATAATGAATTCAATTTCAGAATTAACAACTTCCTTCAAATAAGGAGTTTCGGGAGAGGACATAGCTTCCTTATAGATAAGTTAGAAAATCAAGAACAAATAATGTTGAAGTTTTTGTCTTTTTGTTACATCTAGGTTCATCTTTTGTGAACTCCTTCCTTGTATTGAATTGATCATTATTAGTCGTATCATTAACCGGTCTTATTAATGAGCTTGATTTATGTGGCATATTAAATAAAAAAATTATTTTAAAAGAATGAAACATTCCTTGATTTAATAATTTTATTAATATGTACGTCAAAAATCTCAAATTTATGAACAAGAAATTTATATGCACTCCTGTTATTAGCATAATCAATAAAAACACAATTAATGATTTTAGATCCTATTTTAACCCTTTTTGGTTTAGGAATTGCCACTTTTTCTACATACCCCACACTTTAAAATATTTATAGGAAGCTCTTCGACTTTTCCATAATTCATAAGGTGTAATAACCTAGTTTTTGGAGAATGAAAATTGGGACAAGAACAAGTGCAAGTGTGATTAGGAGTTCAAATATATGAATATTTGGATTGTGAATTGATGAATCTGGAATGTGTGCATAGGTGTTCTGGTCATAAATAAGATATTAGATTAAGGTAAAAGTGTTTCTGGTAAAGAAAGAGCAAGCAAGAATGTGGATTCGGACGAGTTACAGTTAGTGCGTATCGGGTAGTTAAGGGTGCAGAAGTTGTATTAGTGGATCAAATGGAGGTCAATTCGATGTCCAAAAA